GTTCTGAGTACGTCTAGATTCTAGAAAATTATTAGACTTACTAAGTAGGTCGTGTTCGATAGACGTAACACGTGGAAAACTATTCAATGTACTCTCAAAATAAACTCGGATGAATTGAATTCATTTGTTCTGACAATAACACATAAATCATAACAATTTCTCGCTTCTCGCTAAAGAGTAAACATGTTATGCAGGTCAGAATCTGGAATTTTCATAGCATTGAACTAAGCCAGTTCTTGTCAATAGTTTTCACTTCATTTTTTATGACCCCATCCTCAAATCGCACCCATGATCATGTTGGTTGTGAACAGATCATACTACCGTTAGACCAACGAGAGTGCCAAAACCTCACTAAGGAGAAAAAGTGGAAAGAAACATTTTAATAATTTGCTCATCATATTGCTATTAACAATAATTAAAAAAAATCTTAATTTTTAAATTAACCTGTATAAACGCAATAATTAACGAACGAATTAAAAACTGAAGAGTTTGTTTGTTTGTTTGAATGCACTAATCTCAGTAACTACTAGTTCGAAGTAATAATAATAATGTTTGTGTTGGTTAGAACATTTATCTAGGAAGGCTTTAGGATATCATCCATCAGACTGCGACTAATAGGAGCGAATAAACAGTGGAATGAGGAAAAAACCGGAAAATTATGAATCTTTGAGGGTTTCTGATACCAAAAATCCGATACCGATACCAAAAAAAAATGTATAAAAGAACTATTATTATTTAAATTACTAATGAAATGTCTGAGACATTATCGGCCTTATTACAAAAAAATACTTTAACCAGAACAGCGAAGTCTTGGTTTAACTCTTAAACCATTGTCTAAATAAATCTAATATTTTAGTTACGCGAGTACTTGGTTTAATCTTAAACCATGGTCTATTGAATGAATCCGAAACGTCGGGCCGAAGTTAAAAATCATTTTCAAATAAGTTTAACTAATAAAGTTTAAAGTTAAAGTGTTTTATTAAAATATATAATGTATTAGTCCAGTACAAACGTTAAACTTCGTTTTATAATAAGGATTTCAAATAAACCGGGGCTTAAACCAGGTTTTATAGTTAGTCCTTGTTTTGCAATAAGAGTGTATATGTATATCTTTTAGAGAAAATAGATCAATTACACGTTAAAATAATAACTAAATATGTATTTAAGCCAAGATATGAAATATTGTCGATACAGCAAAAGACGATCTCACAAACTATTCGCATGTATTAGTTTTGTGTGCAGTGAAGCAAAGAATCAGTGGGGAAACGCATCAAATATAAAAGAAGAAGGGAACGCCATAATTTTCTTCATCATTGGATCTTGCGATATTATAATTCACGTATTTACCTATGTATCTTTTTGATCTGATACGATTTCAGTCTGTGGATTTCCGAATATCCGAAGCCAAATTAGGAAGACAACAACAAGAAAATTTCATCTTCAAAAAATACTTTATTTTAGATTTAGAACCTTGCCCCTGTTTTGATCTAGTTGCAACATATAAATACGTATTTTCAAATATGTATTTCTTTTTCAATAAGCACACAATTTCACGTAAAATATAATCTCAAATTTATTTTGAGCAAATTTGAAAGCTTCTGAAACAAAAATTCCGGGTTATTTAGGACCATTTTATTAAACGGATGACGACTAGACCGGTTTCACGAAATACTTAAAACGTGAAATGGAATAACTAAATGTTTTATAACATCTTTAAGAGACGAGAACTTAAGTAGTAGAAAGGTTTTTTACCTAATGCAAACAATTTCGTCATTATTTTAGCGTAGCGCTTCGTCTAAGCGTTTTCACCTCATCGTCATTTTTTTTCATGATAGACCACAGACAAGTATAAGACCATATAACATCTAAACAAAATGCGCTGTCGACCTTTTTTGGCTTTGGATATTCGGAAATCACACAGACAACTTGGCGGCTTTTTCAGTTCGGCTCCAACCCACGGCCCGTTGAATATTAGCGGTACGTTGCTATCATTCGACCAATTAGCCCGTCAAAAGGCAAAGTTTCACTTTGACGTATGTTCTATGAAGGAAACGATTTTTAGATTATCGAACCAAATAAAGGCCTACGCTATCAGCACTGAAATGTAATTGGTCTCCCCGTGACCACGGCTGCTGCAAAGCATCCGAAACGACAGGCCGTAGTTAAAAATAATTTTCATACAAGATTAACTACAATATATCGCGGTTTAAACCGTTAAAGTGTTTTAAATGTAGGTAGATAAAAAATAATACTACCACGCGCTGAAACTAGAACGTAAAATTCCTATATAATATTTCTACTAAATATCAATTAACAGTGTTATTCCAAACATGCTTTAGGGTTAACAATATGTAATCGAGCCGAGAGAAACCGAATTCAGGTAATTCCAGTAATTTGATTTCGGTTTGTTTTCATTTGTAATGCAATACCATGTTTACTGAGGTCTCCCAACGAAAAAGCTGGTATTCTTTGTCTTACAACAGTTCGAGGTTGAGTTGTCTCCGTAGTTTACGCGAGTAAACATTTAAGTGAAACGATTTTAAATGCGAAATTTATTCGTTAACTTATTTACAATTTGTCTTAACTACGGCCTGACGTTTTGGTTGCTTTGTAGCCGCCGTGGTCACGGGGGAAAAGGCATTAAACGTCCGAATTAAATTACTGAATCAATTAAATATTTTGCATTTGTAACCGTTAAACAGTGTTTTATATATGGCACAAGATGGGTTATTTCTAAGCGGCAACGTTACGACTTATAGGAAACTAATTTTGAGATGGTTCTTTTAATCACACTTAATTTCTCATTCTCATTCGAAAGTAAATAAAATTTAAGTACTGATCTAATTTTTATTTTCACGTTATAAATACGTAATGAGTTCACCTTTGTCTTTTTGTCTTTAAGGATATATGGCTAAGTAGTCAACGGCTTACTGGCGGTACTATTACAAAAAAAAATATAAATAATAAATCTTTTTATTTGTCATTAATTTAGACCATTCATTAGTAGTAGTTGAAATGAATGTAATTACAATAAAATAATAAAACAAAATCTAATTTCAAGAAAAGTGATGCCAAAAGGTGTAGGTACGGCAGTATAAGTTGTAGCACAGTTATGCTACAACATTGATTTTCAGCAAAACCCTACTGTTCTATCTATCGCTCCGATTAACCCAAAAAGGACAGGCAAACAAGCAGCATTATATATATGGACTATGGATGGATTAACCTCGATTCTTCTTTATACAATCGATGGCTTGTTTCATCTAAACTTCTAAACACATTACCGGTTGTCGTTTCGAAAATTCACTTAAATTTGATATGCCTTGTGCTTGACGACCGTTGACAGTTGGACAAACTTTTTAATGTATTCTCAACGCGCTTATAAGGAAACTTCGAAGTGGCTTTAAAATATTCCTTTGATAACATTGTTTATGACAAAATGAAAGGATTTCATAAATTGTGTAAGGCTTTCACGGCCATCGTTTAGCATATCATTGTCTTTCGGGCTGTTGGCGTGAGCGAGAGAGGTTCTCGATTAGCTTTATTTTATAATTTAATTCTTCGAGCAATCGAGGAGTCAACATCTCCTGATGATGCCGTCCACACGTGATGGCGAAACGTCGAGAACCTCTTCTCGCTCACATCGGCCGAACAGCCCGAAAGACAATGATATGCTGAAAGGATTTCAATTTAAGCGAATTCGACGAGAATTTTGGTAGCTGATAAATAACGGGTCCTGATTCAACGTTATATGGGGCTGCTAGGGGCAGAGCCTAACCGCAATTTTATGACTAGACTTATTTATATCTAATATATAAAATTCTCGGTGTCACAGTTTTCGTTGCCCATACTCCTCCGAAACGGCTTGACCGATTTTGATGATTTTTTTTGTGCTTATCCGGTATCTCTGAGAATCGGCCAACATTTATTTTTCATCCCCATAAATGTTAGGGGTAGTCCACCCCTATTTTTTTTAATTTTTTTGACAAAATTATATTTAATGCTTCAATGCATACAAAAATACATACAATCCTCAATTTTCACCCTTCTACGATCAACCCTTATTTTTTAATAGCCATTTTAGTAAAATTATTTATATCGCAAAACAACGTTTGCCGGGTCAGCTAGTTTTGTCTAAAGACGGTAATACAAGAGCACAGTGACCGAAAATTGTTACACAAATATTAGTACAAATTCATTTTCGCCTAAGTTAATTGCGCATTTTTATTTTTCTTATTGCAAAATCATGATTTTTGTTATAGGCTACTCTGCCTCTAGTATATTTATTTATAAGCACGTCTTAAGAAAACTGAACAAATATTTCAATAAATTTCTATGACTGATCATTTTACATCAAGGGAACCTCATGCTTGTCACTCCTCTGTGATAAAAAACAAATGTAATCTAAATTGAAACGAATTCAAATACTTTTCAAATAGCATTTAAAAATATTTAGAAGCCACACGTAATATCTTAAGACAATAATTATTATTAGTGTATAATAACGAACGTTTTGAAATTCAGAAACTAATTTACAATGTAAATATGTAATAATCTAACACAAACATAATGTAGAAAATCAAATTTGCTTTGAGTATAATAAGAAAATGTTTACTTATCTTCGCAATTGTTATTAAAAGAATCAAATCATACAATCAGTAGAAGCAACGCAAACAATGCCATAAATATATTGAGGTTATAATAAAACGAAACTACCCTCACTTAGCACGAGGAACAGTTTTTTTATGATAGAGGAGGGTAGTTGATGAAAGGTGAAATACCCTCGCCATAAAGCATCTTGATAGGACACGCAATCGACCGAATCGAGGAATTATTGACTTTAGATATTTAAGACAATTTTAAACCTATTAAAACCAATAAATCGGTCCGTAAGTCTAATTACTAACAAGATATTCTCTTTTTCAGAAACTCTAATGAATTCGCTACCAAGCATGATTTTCTTCACTACATATCACCACAGGCTGTGTCAGAGATAGATTATGGATATAGACGAAAAGGTATCGGGTCCGGGGGGTGCGTCCCAGAAGAACTGGACGCACCTCAATACAAGTGATGAGCTGCCATTAGACATGAGATTCAACCATGGTCATATGGTGTCTATCACGGTATATAGTGTGCTCATGGTGGTATCAGCTACTGGGAACTTGACGGTGTTATCACAGCTGGTGAAAAGGAGACGGGCAGGACGGGCAAGCAGACTGGATGTTTTGTTGATGCATTTGGCTGTTGCCGATCTTATGGTAAGGGGGTTGACAGAATGTTTATTTCTCAAATTAAAGAAAATCGACGATGACCTATAGAAATCTAGCTCAGTTGTTTAGAGTCCTACCCGAATCTTATTTTTTTTTCAATTTTAATTGATTTTTAATTGAAAACAAAACGCGGTCTCCCCGTGACCACGGCTGTTGCAAAGCATCCGAAACGTCGGGCCGAAGTTTAAAATCATTTTCAAATAAGTTTAACTAATATATCGCGTTTTAAACCGTTAAAGTGTTTTATTTAAATGTGTACTACTCGCGTAAACTATAGACAGTATTTAACAACTTTACTTAAAAAAACATATTTAAACCTAGGTATTTATGTTTGCAACTAGATCCATACAGTGTTAAGGTTTAAAATACCTACCTACCTAGTTCTAAATAAAGTATTTTTTTTATCATAAAGGGGGCCAGCCCATCGTGGGTTTCACTTGATGGTATGTAGGTGAAATACCCCAGTCTAAACCATCTAAATGAGATGCGTCGTCGACCTAATTTGGCTTTGCATATTCGGAAATCCACAGACTGAAACCGAAACGTGACTAAACTTCATTTTCACCTGTGGACGGATATTCGTAACCCGGACGGAATTTCGATATTCCTACCATCCATTTAATATCCAAATTCCCAGACTAAGTCCAACATGTTTCAGAAAATGTTTAAATTGATTAGAAAAATTGTGGATCCGGTGGGGATCGAATCTACGACCCGCTGATTACACAAATGAACCCGTCAAATATGTAGTAAATGACTACAGTATATTTGCAGGTAACATTTCTGATGATGCCCCTGGAGATAGCGTGGGCCGGGACAGTCCAGTGGCTAGCTGGAGACCTGATGTGTCGTCTCATGATGTTCACACGGACATTTGGACTCTATTTATCCAGTTTTGTCCTTATATGTATCGCAATAGATAGGTAAGCATTGTTTATTAATAAAATGTCATCTCTACTAATATTATAATGCTGAAGAGTTTGTTTGTCTGAACTCTCTAATCTCAGGAACTACGGGTTAGAATTGATAAATTCTCTTTGTGTTTATTAGACCATTTATCGAGGAAGTCTATAGGCTATAAAACACGCGCTATGTCTAATAGAAGCGAAGATACAGCGGGAAATGTGAACAAAACCGGGGAAATTTTTCATCTCTGTAGATTTCTGATGAGTACGCTGCGAAAACATTTCAAGGCATTCACAAATATGTATGTAGGAATGATTCTAACTAGTAGCGTAAACTATAGGTTTGTAATGTAATATAATAGTTAAATAAAACACTCAGTTCAAAACGAACGACGGGTCGTAATTAAAAGTAATTGGAAATAAGTTAATATATTGTGCCTTTAAAATTATTTATTTTATTGTGTATTAATCACGTACACTACAAACAATAAATATAATATTAATATTAACAGCAACTTATTACGTTCTTCCAAGCAGATATGATAACGTAAGATATATAACGTGAAACAAATTACTTCTTTGTAGGAGTACCGCTGAGGCAAATCTTATTTACGGTACGCATAACCCAAGTGAGTCATTCTAATGCACGAAATATTGTAATGGATCAATCCGTCATGATCAGAACAGAGTTTATAGTCTGGGTCAGCACAGAATATAAATATGAATTACAGCGAATTCAACCTTCAGCCTACAGCAAATTATGTCTAGGGATTTATTTTCGGGGACCCAATTCTGCATTTTACAAAGCTGGAATTTTTGACAGAGCATGGGCTTATAACGAATGCCAAATTGCTTATTCGTATAAGTACATATATACAAAACGAAGTAATCCGACAAACATTTGGTTTAATAGATTAATAGATATTGATACAAGTCGCGGACATTTTTTTTTAATTTAAAGAGAATAGTTGTTTCATACATATTTTTTGGTTTTCGCAGCGTACCAAAAGATCTTGAAGATTTTTACCTATGTTTTTCATTTTCCACTGTTTCTCCCTACTCGATATTTAGATCTATAGATAGGAAAATGATAGATCTAACACAAAAGAAATTAATTTGGTCAAGTGATTAAAAGACTAGAGCGTTTAAACAAACAAATTCCCCAGGTTTATAATACAGATAAGATTCAAATGTGCTAGAATTAACTTACATACACATTTTAGCTACAGACGAACTTGTTTTTATTTACCATCACTTTTTACAGACAAACACTTGTCACGTTGAGCCAATTCGCATTATCAATCATTATTTAGGCGGTTAACAATTACTTAATGATTCAATAAGATTTGAATCAGTTGCTTGGCTATGGGCCAAAATAAACAAATGAAATTAACTCCTACGGATACTTTGGCAGTTAGCTTCAGGTATCTTGGAAAGTCCAATATTTTACCTATATTTTCCGTATCGTATTTTGTATTCATCGATTCAAATCAAATCAAACGTCGTTAACAACTTACGCCTTTTCGAACCGTGTGACGAATATATATTCATAACCACAGAATAACGTCAATAGATGTAGTTCTTATGACAGAGGAAATCATTCAAGCATGTTGTATACTCTATGGAAGGTGAAATTCTTTAGTTATATGATATTGCGATCTTATCAGAACGCAAAAGGCCTAGCTTTGGACACTCGTAACTCCACACATTGAACCAAAAGCAAATGTACACACTTCATCTGTATGATGTAACTTTTATTTATGTATTAAATCCTTTATCTCTTTTGTATTTACTACTATTTAAATAAAACACTTTAACGGTTTAAAACGCGATATATATTAGTTAAACTTATTTGAAAATTGTTTTAACTACGGCACGACTTTTCGGACGCTTTGCAGCAGCCGTGGTCACGGGGAGATTCCCCCTGAGTTACAAGAATTTTCGAACAAGTTTAACTAATATATATCGCGTTTTAAACCATTAAAGTTATTGGAATGCTCGCGTAAACTACAAACAGTATTTAATTTACTACTATTTCTTAGCTCCTATTAGACGCAGCGTCATGTTTTCGATAAACGCTCTTACCAACGCAAAAATTTCTTTAATTCGAACTAGTGGTTGCTAAGAATGGCACGTTCAAACAAACATCCCTCAGCTTCATAATATTAGTAGTAAAGAATATCGCACTTCAACAAGCACTATAAGATATATTTTGAGATGATCTTTCTTTGAACGCAAGTAGCAGCTTCCGGAATGGATATCTTTAATTATACATAATCTTTGATATGTTTAGGACGATTAATTGTCTATACTTCTTATCTAAAAGAGTTTTTCAAAGATAAGAATAGAGCGTCTCATTACAAAGCTATTAAACTCATTTTTCAGATACTATGCAATATTAAAACCGTTGAACGTAACATGGGAGGCGCATGTGCGGCGGGCCCTTTTGATTGCCTGGGTCTGTGCTGGTCTAGCCAGTCTACCGCAAAGTTTTATATTCCATTTAGAAGAACATCCAGATGTAAAAGGGTAAGCTTAATTTTGATGACATTATTGGACACGTTTTAAATTAAAAAACATATTTTGCAAAGATCGACACCGGCGAAGTTGGTAACGCAACAGCATGGTAGTTTGCGGTTGTGGTTAGTCCCTGTCGCAAATAATGTTTTCAACTTTAAATAACTACTGTAAAACCTTAAAATAAAACTGTAAAACCGTCTCTGCCTGCGCAGAAGTCTGACAAACTTTTTACCTGCTAGTAAAGTTGATCACATCATGAAAGAATCGGTGGATCCAGGGAGGGGGGTGTCATGGAGTCAACCCCCCTCCCCTTTAGCTGCTTAAGCTGGTTTCAAGACTTAGGTGGATCATAATTGAACATATTGTTGCAAATAATCATTACAGTAGGTTTACGTACCACTACATAGTATGAAATAAAGTCGCTTGATCCCTATGTGCGCTAAAATCTTTAAAACTACGCAACGGATTTTGAGGCGTTTTCTTTAATAGAGAGTGATTCAAGGGGAACGTTTTTATATAAAACGTTCACAGAGATGTAATGTATTTAGTTTCAGCATTGCACCCGAAGCCGGGGCGCGTCGCTCGTATATTGATAAAATACCTTCTTTTCCTTGTATCCGTTGTTATCAATATTAAATTGAAGGTTTTTGACTTTACCAAGAGTATGTGTACCCCCAAAATTGGATCCTTGGAAAGAACATGACCGCCTCTATGGCCAAATGGTTAAACGTATTGCCTAGCATTGCGTTGAGCGCGAGAGGTCATGGGTTCCAATACCAGGGAAACAAAAAAAAATGTTTCGGTCGGGCAGGGCACAGAAGTCTGATCAACTACTTGCCCGGTAAAAGAACGGGTTAGTGAAACGGACACAGAAATGTGTTCGACCCATGCCCAAAGAGGGGGAAACGGGCTTTCACACTTTCGGAAAGAACATATATAAAATGCCATACCACATAAATACTTATGTCGTTCTCTTCTCTTCTGTTCTGCAATTGCTTTATTCTGTTTTCAGTTATTACCAGTGCGTGTCATATGGCTCGCTGCCGACTGAAAGCCACGAGTTTGCGTACTTCCTCCTCAACATGGCGCTTATGTACGTTGCGCCTCTGTTATCCACCTTGTATTGCTCCTCTGCCGCTCTACTTGAGATCATTCGACGAGCTAATACTGCCAATGGTGAGTAGAGGTGTCGAGGGGATAAATATTTAAATAGACGTATGCTTGAAACTTTGAAATGTTTCACATGTCACATGATGCCAGTTTTTAAATTAAAAGTCTATTTTAGATTGATAAATGCGTTAGGCGCATGTATTAATTGGTTAGAATAGCAGCCCGGAATGCTGTGGAGGCCGGTTTTAGTCCCGCCCGTGTCATACATTTTTTTTTATATAGTTTATTTACTTTATATAATGCAATCGTGTGCAATAACATGTGAACTATATTTAAGTTTTTAAAAATTACAATATATTTAACAAGGAAAAGGATGTAGTACGCTTAAAGTACGTAAAGTGCAAATTAAAACTTGGCGATAAAAGGAGAAGCGGCGAGTTACTTGCCAGTTCTTCTCGTCCGGTCAACGCCTTTAATTTGAGAACTGTTGGTAAATGTAAATTTAGTCTTTGGACTTAACTGGTTTAACGTTTACTCACTTTAACGGTTTAAAACGCGATATATTTTAGTTAAACTTATTAGAAAATTATCTTTAACTAAGGCCCGACGTTTCGGATGCTTTGCAGCAACCGTGGTCATGGGGAGACGATGGTTTAACGTTCATAAATGTACCTAGTTACCTACGTGAATACATGAATCACTTTTACTATCATGTGAAACATTAAACAAAAGATATACGTTTACGCAAATTCAATAGTAAATTTGTTCTATCTATGTAGAGGCGGTGTACAACTAAACGAAATGCTTACATTGCGTCCAAAATCGATACTCGATTGAATCTGGACAAGCCTCTACTAACGATAATATGAAACCCGCCACCCTTACGCCCTGAATACAAGAATTTCAATCATTCACTAAGATAACTTATATCACGACTAGCTGTTACCCACGACCTCGTCGCATCCCGTCATTCTTGCGAGTTTATCTTAAAAGACAGATATATATTAGTATCGTGGACTATTATAGAGTACTTAAAGAAATTTAAAGTGGATTTTAGATTCAAAATTTACGACACGGTCAGGATTTGAACTGTATCCACAGGGTTCCGTGCTGTTGTTCTAACCGATTTAGCTACAGAGTCCTACACGTTATCATCGAATTCTTTCAACCTATTGACACTTACACCTCGCGCATTGTAATGTCATTTAAAGAGAATTTTTGATACATACTTTTTGACTAGCCGTGCCTTCCTCGATAAATGCTCTAACCGACACAAAAAAAAATCCAATTAGAACCAGTAGTTCCCGGGATTTGCGTCTTCAAACAAACGAACTCTTCAGCTTTATAATATTATTATAGATTCTGCGGTATTAGAATACAGAATAAATAAAATCGATATGGCAGAAATGATTCAAAGGAATATTTTTACGCGTTCATAGCGCTGCTTCACTCGTAATGTAGATTTTTCCAGAACGAGACTTCTGATTGCTTTGATAAAAGGCGCGAGACTTTGGGGACCTAATTCTGCTATTTATAATCGCTAACATGGGTCACTTGGTATTCTGACGATATATTTTATCACTGTTGAAAAGTCGCTTTTATTTTAGGTAAGTAGTTTTCTGCAGTATCCAATATAACCAGGTTTTCAATTTGCAGAATCAGGTTCCATTGGTTTAATACGCTTTCTCGTGTCCATATAACATGAAGAAAGCAATGAAAAGATTTCTTTCATCTGTTTTTCATGTGAACCATTCAGCATAATACATTCGTACTTCTAAACAAATTCGAAAGTGAAATATCATTATCCATCAGCACGAAGCTTACGACTTATTAAAGTCCAACATCAAGTACGATGTAATCTTTATTTTTTGGTTAAATTATTTCACATATGTGATTATTTCTTAAAATACTAAGAATTTTCAAAACTGAGCAATCAAAATCTTTAACTTTCTTTATTACCGGGTGTGTCAGAAATTCTCGTCTCCCGGGGACGTAGTTACCCACCGCCTCATCTTAATAAATTAAAGCCGTTATCCGTCGTTCTTGCAAGTTAATCTTAAAAGATAGATATACATACATTGTTGCTGACATTTTTTAAGTCGTTTTGGATCGTATTATAGTTTTTTAGGAATCATACTTTAACCCTAATTGCAGCGCACGCCAAGGAAACCCTTAAAGATTAATAACTTTCCCCGTTTTCCAACATCCCCCACTATTCCGTCGCTCCAATACAAAAAGAACTTTTCAATTCGAAACAGTACTCCCTGCGATAAGCGCGTTCAAACAAACATACTCTTCAGCTTATAATATTACCGGAGATCGGAGAAACAACAAAGTCATTATGAATGATACACGACTGTATGTTTCAGATAAAATGCGACGTAGCGGTGTTGGCATCCTGGGCAGAGCGCGCGCTCGGACACTGAAGATGTCTGTCACGATAGTTCTTGTATTCTTCACGTGTTGGTCACCCTATTACTGCTACTGTTTGTGGTGAGTACAAAGATCATGAATGTGTACAGGGCCCTGTTAATATCAAGAGTAAAAAAAAAACAACTACATAGGTACATGCTTGTAAAAGAACCTTAAGAGAAACGGACACAAAGATGCACATTTCTTCACACTTCTCACCCTTATATTTCTGATAGGACCCTTTTTAAGAGTGGGAGTACAGAAAGATATTTGGTTATTATTTTATCATTGTTATATATCGACTGAATGTGATACTGATAGACAAGTGTTTCAATACAACATAATTGTTTAGTAGCAAGTCAATGCACATAAAATTCCAAGTGTGCTTCTAAATTCCAGGTATTGGATAGACAAGGACATAGTGAATCATTTGGATCCAGCATTCCAGAAAGCGATGTGGCTATTTTCGTGCACAAATTCCTGTGCTAATCCCATTGTTTATGGTGTCTTCAATAGGAATCGATGGACTTGGCGTAGCGGAGCTGTAAGTAAAATTTTGAAATATAACTGTTGATATAAGCATTACTATTGGTACGTCACTTGACTACCTTTCTAAATACATAATAATAATAATAAATTACTTTAATGCACAAACATAGACATAAGAACATGGACACTTAAAATTACACAAAACAAAACATATTTGTGCAAAGGCGGCCTTACCGCCTATGCCAATTTCTTCCAGGCAACCTTTGCATGTAGACATAAAAAAAAACAAACATTTGAATAAAACACTTTAACGGTTTAGAACGCGATATATGTTAGTTAAACTTGTTTAAAAAATTCTTTTTACTAATGCTTTGTAGCAGCCGTGATCACACGCGTAACATCGCGTTTTAAACCGTTAAAGTATTTTATTTAAATGTGTACTACTTGCGTCAACTACAGACAGTATTAAAAAAAAATACGGTATACTTATGTATTAATGTAAAAAATTCTTCCAACTAAACCAATGTTTAATATTTTACAGGGATTTGTAGGTTTCTTACTGTAATATTCATGTACTTATGTGATACGTAGACATTACTGTTTAACTACTTTAAGCATTTACAAGCAAGTTAAGAGTCTGCATTGTCTTTCCCGACTAAAACTATGTCAAGACGCTTTTTTGCAATGCTAGAAAAACCTAGTTATAGTTAAAGAACTTAAATTTGAGTTATTTACTTAACAATATTATAACTTACTCTCTTTTTAAATAGTTTGTACCTACTCTTCTTGATAATTATTAACTTTATAAACTAAAAATCGATTATAACGACATGGCATCAACAGTGTTCGTTCAGAGCAACAACACGTGACGTGTTTTCTTTTTAATTCACGATTGATTTTTAATTTATTTAGTGTCATTATGTGTGAAAAATATTAGTTTTAAATCATTAACCCTTTTTAGCACGTCCGAAACCGCGGCAGCAGCATGAGACGTGGATCAAGATTCCCTCACGGGGACTCCATGGAAATATCCGCGGCGACCCTCGCTCGTGCCAGATTTTCTCTTCACAGCGAAAGAACCAGCAGACGAGACTCAGCGCGAAGCTTCGTCACACAAAATGGAACCCAAAAACATTTGAACAACAATAATAAAACAAACGGCATAGTTTAAATTATTATAATTCTATATTATATATATAGAGACAATCTGTAAATGTCCGTCGATATCTTGCTATTTCGCTCGTATGCTCTCTTTGTCTTTATCGCATGGCATGGTACGGATGGTATTGATAAAGATTCGACGCAAAAGTCCACACAGGACTTATTACTTACATTTTCTATATATCTAATATTCCTTTTTGGGTTTTTTGTACTAATCGTCTTCTCTGGAAATCTTGATAGTTTACATGGGCGGTAGGAATATTGAAATTCCGCTCGGGTCACGAAAAACCTTCCACAGATAAAAAGCGATTTAATCGCGTTTCGATTTCATGTGATTTCTATTTCCAAAACCTAGTACATCACCTACTATCAAGTTTGTCCGACCTAAACGTAGACTATTATTTAGAAAGTAATTGAATGATTGTTTAATTTTTTTCTGTCGCTATTACTACAACATATAATGGCCGCCATTTTGAGAACGATCAGCACGGTATATATATGTTTGACTGCGTCCTGACGCATCGGTCGCCCTTCAGCAGCCGTGGTCATTTTAACTTGGCTTACTGTTTAACCCGGTTAAAAGTGTTTTATTTAATTTACCGTTTGTGTAAATTACGGAAAATGCCTTGTAAATACATTCTTCAACCTATAAAGATTTGAGAGCTTTAAAATAAGTCGTGGAACATATCTAGTTTAATGATAAATTATAATGTATTTCTTTTAAGGTGTAGATAATTACCCTAAATCGATGTAGGTAAATTATATATGTAGTAAATAAAAGTGTTTACATCTGAGGATGTATCAATTGCGTACGATCTGCCAAAGTGCCTTTTGTAAATGTCATTTTTGTGTTCGGTTCAGTCTGTGGATTCTCGAATATTCAAAGCCAAATTATATAGCGCATCTTGAGATTTTATATGACTGGGGTATTCTACCTTCCATCAAGTTAACTCCAATGCTCAGTTCTCTTCTATAATGAAAACGAACTCAATGCAGTGAGTCATAGATGTTAAAACTGTTTATAGACGGCATCTTAAGATTTCGTTTGCTCTGTTACGATAAAATCTTTGATAAATGCCTATTGCTAAAACATTCCTCTTAACTATACATATTTAGTTCCAGATTAGTTTTTTAAGGATATGTTGTAATATAATGTGAACATTCCCACTTTAGCTGTAACACGGACTGAGTGAATTTCTACAGATAAAATAATTGTGTTAATAATTCCTTTGTAGATAATTAATAGTCAACTTTAATTTAATTTTTAGTTTATAGTGTTGTTATCATTGGCTGTGAGGCTATAGACGTTTTTGGTGTAAAAAAATGTTTTATATGTGTAAGTACTATTATGTAAAGTTGATCAACGGAAATAAAGTTTTGATTTCATTGGTGTTGACCTCATTTTATTACGCCTTTTATTTAAGTTTTCAACTATAACATGCGTAGGATTGCTTCATTAGCTATAATTATAGCGCATTTTATTTACTCTACTAACATAAATTACATTTTTAGTGTAGGTATTAAGTATTTTATCATATGTGTCATCTGTCACAATATACAGTGGTAAAAAGAACAATAATTTATATTATCACGCCTTGTCGTTCCTCCCATCGATATATGACAAGATGATTGAATCCATTTATAACGGGAAAGTCATCACATAATAGTATCATTACCAAAAAGTAGATCTGGTTTTCTAATTAGTTGTAGTATGAAACGCAATTTATTAAAAATTAAAGACTTTATTTAAAATTTAAATACAAGTTTTACTTAAAAATCAACAAAACGTATTTTAAATACATAAAATAACCTATTGTAACCTTAAATAACGTTTTCGTTCTACATTGAACATTTATTACTTATGACTATTTCTTTGACTACCATTAATACTTTGGCACTTTTAAATAATTTCTTTTACAATAAAACCTAGATTTTTATCTTTTAAACTATTCGTTACATAATTTACTAATACACAAAAATTAATTATGGAATGTGGTAAATTGTATACATGACTATAACCTAATAATTATGGCACATAAGTTTAATAAATATCGATAACTTGTAACCATCTAATTTTTATTAAAATGTACTTCTCAGGCGCACAAGTAAATACATCCATAAAAGTGTATACACGAATTACATTGTATAATTTTGCGTCAAAGAAATATTTACGATAGATAGAAATAGGTTATCTACAATATAGATATGTTATATACCATAGATTGAGAATACTAGATCCAGAAATATATTGCCACGAACGAACACACTAACATTTATCTATGTATTTTAAGCTCACAGTAGGGTCCTATATTACAATATTAAGACGTAAGACCTAAAGTAATCAAATATAATCATATAATTATTGTCGGATACGTCTGAAGCAAAATATTTAACAGAGCGCAATTTACATTTTAACTTAAACACTTTTAACAGGTTTAAAGTTGTTTTATTAAACCATTTGGTTTTCAACGACGGTAAAGGGTTAAGGCTCTTAAAACAACCCAAAAATAGATTCTTTCATATTTTAAACCGTTAAAGGTGTTTTATTCATTATGTACCACTCGCGTGAACGACAGATAATACTGCGATTTACTTTTTTAAGGAATATTGTCAATAGACTTGAATCTTTTACAGACTTCTTAAATGAGATAAACACGGCGAATTAATCTACACTTCATTCATCTATACTGGCGTTATATAAATACGCACAACTGAAACTGCATACACTCAATTATAAATTAACGACACTATTCGAAAGAAGTAGCTTCTATCAAAATAAATTCATTTTTTATTGCACTTATGAAAAAAATCGTAATATTTCGACAATTTATTAAAATTTTTAACACTTCTATAAAATTACGTTGTGGATTACTTCAAATTATATAACAAACCAAATTATGAATATTTGGTTTAATAACTCTAATAATTCTCTAAATGATATGTAAAATTTCTTGAAACTAACATAAACAACTCAAACAGGCAATTTACACTAAAACGTTCAGCTAATAAATATTATAGTATGAACACAGATCCGTCGAACAACATCGCCGTCGTTCAATGTTCACCTTTCTCTAGATCGCTGAGTTCATGCGCTGGGCCTTCTCTGTCATTGTTTTGAGTGGCCCGACACTTTTCGATATCCGCTTGGGAGAGTGACGTCACAATAATAGCGCCTAACGCGTCGCATACCACGTTGATTGTTGTTCTGAATCGATCACTGAAAATTTATGAAAAGAATTAGTATAGAATCTAAGTACAAAGTAGCTGTCTACGTGGTGAAGATACGACCTCGGGAAGGGCTCTTGAAAAGTCCCTGATAGAAGAAGTAAAGCAGCCCGATGGTGACAAATAGCGCTTTTTTTAGTATACAATTACACTAGATGACATGCAAAACGGGGAACTGTCTGTGACCAAGGCTGCAAGTAGTCGAAACGTGGGGAGTAATAATAATTTTCAAATAAATTTAACAATTTATATCGCGTTTTAAACCGTTCGTTATTTAAACTAGATGAGGAATGTATCGATAGTTGTTGTTGTTCTGACGATCACTGAAATTTATGAAAAGTATTAGTATAGATTAGTACAAAGAGCTGTCTAGTATGAAGATACGACCTCGGTAGGGTTCTTGAAAAGTCCCTGATAGAAGAAGCAAAGCATAGCGACCGATAGTGACGATGAACGCAAGGAAATTTGAATACTCACAGAAGCCAGTCCACGGCAAGAATAATTGAGACATCCTCAGCAGGTAGGTTGACTGTGTCTAGTACCATTACCATTGTAACCAACCCGGCTTGGGGAATACCAGCTGCTCCTATACTAGCAGCTGTGGCTGTTACACTGGAAAATAAGAAAAGTTTTAAATAGTTAGCATAGTTTTGTTCCACTTCTGATACACTATATATGTTCTATCTCAAGGTTGGGAACTCAAATTTAAACTAAATTTAATGATAAGAAAAATTTATTATTTTTTACATGTTATTGCACATGAAGGCACTATATAATTAAAAAACCAAAAATAAAAATGAAAAAAAAAAACTTTCGGTCGGTAGCTCAATTGAAGAGCCCCAGCACGGAACGCTGACAATGCCGGTTCAAGTCTTGCCCGAGTCTGTCCGATACTGTCTCCCCGTGATCACGGCTGCTACAAAGCACCCGAAACATCAGGCCGTAGTTAAAATAACTTCCAAATAGGTTAACTAATAATATATCGTGTTTTAAACAGTCATTGTGCCCTATTGAAACATTTTAATTAAGTTTATTTCTAAAAAACAAAAACCTCGGCAGCGATATTATAACGCTGATACTCTTAAATATTAAGTATAAAGTCTCACAAATTAATTCTAACCTTACGGCAACAATTTTCCCAAACGACATTTCCACCTTGCGGAGCTGAGCGATGAATATAGCAGCAACAGCTTCATATAGAGCTGTTCCGTCCATGTTGATGGTAGCACCAATTGGAATGACGAAGCGGGTGATGCGGGGGTCCAGACCCATTTCGTCACAACAGCCTATTGTTATTGGCATCGTTGCAGAACTAATTAAGAAGATAAATCCATTCTTATAAGCTCAAATAAGTTTAAATGTAACATTTTAATACCATCACTAGAGTCATGGTAAGTTTTTTAATATAGGACAGTCAAGCATGAGGTACACTTGATGGGAGGTGAAATACTAAACAAGATGCGTGGTCGACCTATTTTGGCAATGACTATTCGGAATTGTGGTATTGACATAACTTTTAGGGTTTCATAAAAACTGAAATAGATCCTTTTACAATTCCATTGTCATGTATTTGTGAATTTCATATTATGATAATAGAACGTGATTTTTACCGTTCACGACGATCACTTTTTTAACAGCCGCTTCTAATATTTCTTAATTTATCATTTAGCTTCTCACCTCGATGCAGTACCAAACGCAGTGGCCATGACTTGCCCCATCTTAGCTATGTATCGGCACGGGAGCTTCTTCGTAGCAAGGACAAAAAGAATGCTCAAAGTCCCAAAGCCGTGAAGGAAAAGACCAAGCAGAACAGTCATGAAGTACAGACCCAGTCTACCAACTAGTTCGGAAAACGAGTCTATCTCCATAATCTTAGCAGTGACAAGAAAGAATACACCAAGTGGCGATAACCTGAAAATAGTGACGTGGTGGGTTTAATTTTAAGTATACAAGATTGACACAAATTCACTGTTAAGATAAAATCTTAGTCTATGGTTTGTAGTAAACATATAAAACACTTCCAACGGTTTACACAGACATCTACTGTTAAGATTTAAATAAAACACTTATAACGGTTTAAAACGCGAAGGGTGTTAGTTAAACTATTTATACTAGCTTTGCCCGCGACTTCGTCCGCGTGGACTTGGGGTAGAATTTTTATTATTTAGTCTGTTTATTAATTTATGTAAGGGCGCATTTAAGGCAGCAAATCTATGTTGTAAGTGGTACTGTGTCACAAAACTCACATCACTCCTACTCTACCTCCCACTCTCATTCCAACACTCACTCCCACTCCCACTCACACTCCTACTCCTATTCCCTAAAAGCCTAAGAAGATAGTTTCATTGCTCTAGCTTTAAAAACAAACAATTTCCATACAAACTAACATCCCCTTTTTCAACCCCTATCAACCTTTTTTTGGCATTTAAGAGTATGTCCTTTCTCAGGCTTTAAAAAATCTGTGTACTAAATTTCACATAAATCAATTCAGTAGTCTAAATAAAACACTTTAACGGTTTAAAACGCGATATATTAGTTAAACTTATTTGAAAATGATTTTTAACTTCGGGCCGACGTTTCGGATGCTTTGGGCAGCCGTGACCACGGCTGCTGCAAATCTATCCCAAGTCCACGCGGACGAAGTCGCGGGCAAAGCTAGTATAAAATAGTAGTTTAACTAACACCCTTCGCGTTTTAAACCGTTAAAGTGTGTATTTAAATGTGTACTACTCGCGTAAACTATAGACAGTATTTAATTCAATAGTTTCGGAGTTAAAGCCGGACAGACAGACAGAGTTACTTTCGCATTTATAATATTAGTATAGATTTAGATAGACTAATTATTTTAACTACTAGCACTACTATAACCCCGGAAGCTGCAAATCATCCGAAGCGTCGTAGTTAAAATAATTTGTAAAACAAGTTTACCTGAAACATTTCGCGTTTCAAACCGTCTAAAGTGTTTTATTTAGATAAAAACGCTTCTAATAGTTATAGTATCGAGATATTAACAAAGATAACCCAACAAAGAAACATTTCGTTTTGAAACATGTTTTTTCTCGTAATTTATCATCTGTAGAGATTAAAATTAAAAAAAAAACAACTTCTCACCAAATCACCCAGCCAGTGATAATCATCATAGCTTCGGATAGAGCGTGGAAAAAGTTTTGTAGCGGTCGACTTTGTTCGCCCATCTTTCCGAGTGTAATTCCCAAAACGATGCTAAAGCAAACCAAGCCCAAAACATTGCTCCCCTTCTGGTAATCGCCGTCAATTTTATATGTCTCCAAATGCCCTGAAATACAACACATTCACTTCGCAGTGTATCATTGTATGATTATACTTATATAGGTTTTTATGATAGAAGACGAGAGACAAGCATGGGATTCTCAAAAAGATGCCCTGCCGGCCTATTTCGGCTTCGGATATTCGGAATTCTTCGGACTTAGCATAGCTTTTATGGTAAACAAATTTGGTGGAAGTTAATTCATAATTATTTATTGGAGTTGTATCAAGATAGTACTTGAATCATGTTTGCAATTATGCCCAAAATAAATATTCAACACGGACGCAGTCGCGGGCACAGCTAGTACATATTTGAATATAATATTATAACGCTAAAGAGTTTGTTTGCTCGTCTGTTTGAACGCGCTAATGTCAGGAAATACCAGTTCGAATTCAAAAAATATACTTTAGCACGCGACAATGTGGCTGGCTATCTTTTAAGAAGAACTTGGAAGAACGACGGGGCGCCGTCGTGGGTAACACTTAACAGCTATTATCTATAAAGACGAGGAGAAGGTTTGCAAAAACTGATTTTTATTACCAAAATAACTATTCCACGCAGACGAAGCTTGTATTTATACGAATACAAGGAGTCAAAATTTAAGCATTTGACGACACAATTCTTACTGTTACATATAAAAAGCTTGAAGCCTACTTAAAGCACGTGAGTTTTCAAGAAAATAGCCACAAGTGGGTAAAGGTTCTACCTTAATTGCGCATTTAAATCTTGACTTTGACACTCAAACGACCCAAAACGAGTGGCGGTAGAAGACGGTTGATTTCTTACTCACCTTCATACATAAGCCAAAGTAGGTAATTAATTGTTGAAACTTATATAGATTAAAATAAAACACTTTTAATGGTTTAAAACGCGAAATTGATTAGTTAAACTTATTAACTAATCAATTTAACGACCCGACGTTTCGGCTGCTATAAGTGTAAAAAGGATACAGCCAGTATTTAACTAATATATATCCTGTTTCAAACCTTTGAATTTTAACGGTTTAAAACTCGTATTATATAAAGCATCGGAACCTTTGGGTAGATAACGTTCTTAACTAATATAGATCCCGTATTAAACCGTTAAAAGTGTGTATTGGTGTAACTTAAAGTACTATTAAAATTTAAATATTTAAAATTCGAATGTTTTGAATCACCGTAAACGTGGAGTAGTTAATTTTTTTTATGTAATATAGATCCTGTATAAAACTGTTAAAAGTTTTTTGTTTTTTTTTTTCGAGTATAACCCACATCCTATACATACCTCTAATAGATTTTGTATCATTTACGTCATAAACGAGCCTCGTTCGGTAGGAAGCGATCGTTGCTTGCACTATATTTTCCGGGAACACGTTTCTGAAAGGAATATACGTATTTAACATTTAATAATATTCTCTTAAACTAGAGGAGGGGACGCACACATTAATGGTAGGTGAAACACTCCAGCCATATAATAACTATTAAATTTCGCGTTTTAAACCGCTAAATATGTTTTTATTTAAACTTAAACTTATTTAAATACTTTGACGGTTTCAAAACGCGATATATATTAGTAAACTTGATATTGTTTCAATTACGGCCCAACGTTTCTGAAACGTATTGTAATTATTGTAGTTATGCAAATACTTTTTAATGATTTATCTTGTTTATATTAATTTTCATAAATCCAAGTGTTAATCTAATTTAGAAAATCCAAACAATTATCGATCTTAACAAACTAAGATTTTAACTTTACTACATTTGCATGAGTGATGTGTGTATAAAATATAGAAAAAAATTTTTTTGCTACACAAAGTAGTCCAGATGTATGTACCCTGCCTGAACGATACTTATAACTTTGTTTTTTTTTTTATATACAGTGCGAAAAACAAATCATTAATCGGATAGAATATGCTCTCGATGACTCGGGTCCACGTAGTCACTAAAGAGGTCTTATCCCAGGCGACGTAATTGAAATAAACTACTCAAAGATTACGCTGACCGTAAATGGAAGACAGACGCTAATACAAACACAATATTTCCTCGCCCGCGAAGTTTGTAAAAATGTTTACAAAAATCGTTAATTAAATAATATCTGTAGTTTACGCGAGTGATACACATTTAAGTAAAACAGTTTTAACTGTTTCAAACGCGAAATGTATTGTTTAACATCGTTCCAACTACCAAGGAACAGATGGCGCTGGCGTAGCAGTTTTTAATTTGACATTAGGGACACCATCGCTCTTTACCGCGGCTGTGGCCGTAGAATCTGGCCGTAGTTAATAATTCGCAAATAAGTTGAACTAATACATTTGCGTTTTAAACTGTTTTAAGTGTTTTAAATGTATAATGTAATTCTAGGTTGAAAGTTAATGTATAAAATTTGATAGAAAATCTCTCGCCATCATTCATTAATCCCATTTATGAATGAAAACCGTCAATGTTTTACTCTTGCTATATTTGCTACATATTTTCCATAGCCTGTAGGTATACATAGTATACAAAGAGATTCAATAAATATATAAGTATATATAAATAAATAAATATAAAATTAAAATTAAGCTTCCATTCTTCGCTTTTTTAAAAATTCCAATGCATGCAATGTAATGCAAAAATTCTTTGGCAGTAGGAATATCATTTATATATAAGCGATATCTGCAATAAGTGGCTCAAGTACCCAAAATATAGAGTCAGATTAAAAGCAGATTGGAGGTCGTCATCCAATAAAGTCCCCCTTGGATCTATTCTTAAACTAGTTGTCACCTGACGAGTAACGACCTAATAACGCAACAATCTAACGCTATTTCTTTAGATTAGCAGTCACTAAGACAAGCCTTTTAACGGTTTAAAACGCGAATTATATAAGTTCATTATACCCAAGTTTACAACTGATGTGAAGCGTAAATACGCTGTAATTATAAATTAAATTATAGTAATGTATTTCTAGTTTAAAAGCGTTAAAAATTTGTTTTATTTAGTACGCCTTATGAGTTATCTCTAAGAGGAGTTAAATTAAGAAAATATGCAAGTTTTGTTAAGAACTATTTATGAGAACAATTATGGTAATATCGCGTTTCCCTCCGTGGGGCAGGGGCCGAATGCGATTCTGTCTTCGTTTCATTGATCGGTTCTTTTTACTAGCAAGTAGTTGATTAGATTTCTGCGCCCTGCCCGACCGAAAAAAATTCTTAGCAAGACACTACAATAATTCGTCAACAGTTATCTTGTGGGGCAATGCTGGACACATTTTTTTATAATTATATTATGTCTAAAGCAGTCTCCCCGTGACCATGGCTGCTGCAAAGCATCCGAAACGTCGGGCCAAAGTTAAAAATCATTTTCAAATAAGTTTAACTAATATATCGCGTTTTAAACCGTTAAAGTGTTTTATTTAAATGTGTACTACTCGCGTAAACTTTAGACGTATTTATATTGTGTCTTTGCCCGGTGCCGTCAAAAATAACTGGATGTATTAGATAATCTGTGCAATGTAAATACATTAATTTAATATTGAGAGAACCGACTACTTTACTTGTCTTATGTTGGTAGTACATGTAAAATCTTTATGTTTTTGTTTTCCCGCTTTCCTGCATACGGATCTTTGCAGAAAGTGTGATGCAATATAAAAACGGCTCAGTTAATTAAATCACGGCCTTTTTTTTCAAAACAACTTCAGGATGTTAAGCAAGTTTATAAAAACGCTTTTATTTATAGGAGTGAGTCAATCATATTACTAGGTTTTCTTGGGATTCAAATTTACCTCTCAAAGTCAATAACAGGCCATAAAAAGCATCACTGACGAGGGCGGTACACAAACAGTACCTTTTTAATAAACCCAAAGCCCTAAATATAAATAGGACAATAAGTTAAATTACTTTGTTAGTCGGTAACTTAACACCTCGAAAGAGTACTTAGGTAAGCAAATTGATGTTGAAATATAATCTAGTCAATTGAAGCGTGTAAGCGAGGATAATACGCGTTTCATTAACAATGAATTGTTGTCTCAGAACTTTACAGTATACCCTACGCGGTATAAGAAGTACCATTTTATGATAGGAGAGGACAAACAAGCACAAAGTTTACTTAAGTGTCCTCAGCCTGAGTAATTACCACTATAATGCCAAACAGATCGATTGTGGGCTTATTTTAATTTAGACATTCGGAAATCCACAGATTGAAACTGACACGGTTTTTCCACGTGTAAAATTCGATATTTCTTTTAAATACCTTTCGTCGTGTTTGAGGGTATTACGATAACGAGGTAAGCTGTTTAAAAATTAGGTATAACACTTTTAACTGTTTAAAACGCGGGACATATTAGTATTTTTTATATATTTTAACGGTACGTACCATTGCTTTGCAGCAGCCTTGGTTACGGGAGAAGTTTAAAGAAAGTTAACTAATATATTTCGCGTTTTAAATCGTTAAAAGTTTAATCGCGTTATGGTTTCAGTCTATGGATTTCCGAATATCCAAGGTCAAAATAGGTCGACAGCCGATCTTGTGTAGATTATATATGGATGGAATGTTCCAAATCCCATGTATATGTCCTGTGTCATTAAAATAACCTAGCTAAAACAGAAGTCTTGAGTTAAGTCAAATGCTATGTATCTAATAGACATGAACAAACCGTATTAAGTCAAGTAAAGTGTCGGATGTGAGAGTGTCCTTTTTGATAAGTTTGGTCGCAGTGGGTTGGCTGTAGGATTCCGGGTCTTTTCCAGGTTTGATCGTGGTCACCAGAGCGATTCCCAGCATAACAGCGCACACAGTTGTCGTCATATAGTAAATTATAGCACGTAAACCAACCCTGAAATAAAATTTCAGTTACGAATCTGAGTAAAATGAGGATAAATATATTTTTTGTGTTTAGTAGATTACCTACCAGTTAGAACCTACAACACAAAAAAACGAAATAAAACGTTTTTTGTATCCTACTTACCACCTTAATCGACCGTTTGTTGCATAAGCACATAAAAATCACGTTTTTGGTATTTTGTATGATGGCTGTCCCCCCCACTATATCGAAATTATTATTCATAAGCTATAACGGTCATTAAAGTAACCTGGTGACAAACAGCCAAACAGTGCCTGTGGCCGTTTGTCTTTTGCTGTCAGTCTATCTATACGGGATATAGTGTCTATAATAGTAGCACATCTATTCGTAATAAATATACATGGCGTAATACTTACTTGCCAGACAAGCTGAGATCTAACGACCCAATGGCAGAAACAATAGACGAAACCAGTAGTGGAACGATCAAACACTTCAGCATCCTGAGAAAGAGCTCCCCAGGGTACTGGAAGTACATGACCTCTCGCCGCGTCCACTCATACCCAGTGGCTCTCAAGCCCCATCCAAGAAGAGTACCTGATACTACCCCGATGACCGTTAGCAGAGTCAGAAGGTTCTCCCTCAAGAAGGAGACGACGCCTTCCCTTCGTATCTGGAGCGGCATCTTCACGTATTTCTGAAAAAGGAATAAGTATAGAGTTACATTGATGGCATACATTTTTTATGTAGAGGAGGACATACAAACATAGGATTTACTTGATGCAAGATCTTCCACCCCCTAAAAGGTCGATAGCACATGTCAATAAGATGCGCTATCAACCTGTTTTGCTTTATATAGAGAATTTTAAAGATTTGACTGTTTAAAACTGATTTTTTTTTGCATTCAAGATCTATCGTAGATGCGACAGTAATACACTGTCGGTATGTTATGTGAACTACTGTTATGGTATAATTAACCACGTAATATGAAGCATTTATGTCAATAAATAGAAATCTAAAATTGTCCATTATTTTTGTTAATCAACTGGAAGTTGTATGCGGCCATTTAAAAAAAATTCACGACGTGCGCCATCAAGAAGAGATTATATAAATAAATAATGCGCTCATCGATACAAAAACTTGTATTACATTATATTGTAACACATAACTTTCAACTAAGATAAATAATAAAATACGTATAATGAGAAGATTGGTAACAAAAACACAATTTCAAACTTAGTACTACAAGGCCTCAGCTTGTGCTCAGCAAGGCTTGTTTAGCGTTTTTCAATCGACCATCAAATGGTGCCAAAAACAAAAAACAAATTAGAATTACAGTGAAACGAAACTAAAACAAATTGTAATTAGGTCATGATATATATTAGTGGCAGCGCAATTAAAAAAACTACTTTAATATACTGGGATATTTCGGACGTTTCGGATGCTTTGCAGCAGCCGTGGTCACGGACTCCGAAACGTCGGGCCGAAGTTAAAAATCATTGTCAAATAAGTTATATATCGCGTTTTAAACAATTAAAGTGTTTTATTTAAATGTGTAGTACTCGCGTAAACTATAGGCAGTGTTTATACTGGGATAGGTAAAATCAACATAATTGTATATGACAATGATTTATCGCGCGGTAGATCTACGAATAAAGAAAAGACGCATGAGAGCTGTGGTTAATTGATTGCACAGTACATTAGTATGTGACCTGCAGTGACTCTACAATTAGTATATTATAAGTGTTGTTGTGTGTGTTGGAAAATTGCCATTAGCATATGATAGTTTGTGATTGCAATGACTAATGAGGAAAACCAATTCTATAAATTTGTTTTTTAGTAAAATGTTGATAAATGATTAAGCATATATAGTTTTAACCAACTTACATAGAATAACTGGCTTTTGATGTAAAAATGCATAAAACGTCTTTAGAATGATTTCAACTATTTCTTGGATATTTATAATAATATTATAAAGCTAGAGAGTTTATTTGAATGTATTTTAGGAACTACTGGTTCTAATTGAAAATAACAATAATTTGGTTCTATTTGTGTTGAATAGACCATTTATGATATGGTTTAGAGCTATAAAACAACAGGCTGCGAAGAAACAATGGGAGTGTGGAAAAAACGGAGATATTATTCAACTTTATGGATTGCCATTGCATAAGCTGCGAAAACGGTTCAAGATACCAAAAATATGAATAAAATAACAATTCCTCTTTAAATTATGTAAATAATGTTCGTGACAGTATATATCTATCTCTTATGATTAACTCCCATTATTTGCTTTTCTTGGTAATTTAATTTAATCGAAATCAATGCATTCTTGCCAACAATTTCCTTTCAATAACAAAACAACTTTTGCTGCTGTCGCCTTCCTCGATAAATCCAGTGCTAAGATAATTTTCCAATGAAAACCAGGAGTTCCTGAAATTAGCGCGTTTCAAGTCCAATAGTAACAATGTATAAGTAACAACCAGCAGGTCATTGGATCTATTTCCACCGCGTCCACCATTTTAAATCTAAAAAAAAACACTTTATCGGTTTAAAACGCGATATATTTTAGTTAAACTTTTTTGAGAATTATTTGGCGAAACTGGCCAAATACCAACTTCGACGGAACAGATGGCGCTAGCGTAGCAATTTTTACTTTGACGTCAGAGACATCCTCCATCTTTAGTCTCCCGTGACCACGGCTGCTGCAAAGCATCTGAAACGTCGGGCCGTAGTTAACAATAATTCTCAAAAAAAGTTTAACTAAAATATTTCATGTTTTAAACCGTTAAAGTGTTTTATTTAAATGTGTAGTAGGTATTCGCGTAAACTACAGACAGTATTTAATTTTCTTTAAACATGTTGAAACGCGGCTGGACCCAAACCTATACCTATGTAGTGGGCATATCTATATTCGGTCCGGACCACGAACGGGGTGGATTTCCGAATACTCGAAGCCAATATAAGTCGACAGCACATTTTAATTAAATGTCTAGTAACATAGATAAGAAATATAAAAGGGCGCTACGCATTTTGAAGATGCAGTTCGGGTTGCCAACACACCTTGCCAATTTGGCAAAGTTATACAAATTTCGCTACCCATTGACGACACGTGGGAGTCTCCCTTCGCGGATGTGGACGCGGATATCTTATTTAGTGTAACCGATCGCTCCCCTCGGTCACACGCACACCAATCTAGTGCATAGTCACCTGGCTGGAAGTGTACACTCGACGCCGCTAGTTCACTCGAATCTCCCAAAATATAGGTCAATGGTAAACGGAGTTCGTATAATATATATTAATAATACATCTCTTTACCTGGCATTCGTTCGAAGTAGTAGTAGAAATTGATAATAACAATTTTTTTTTTGGGTTTTGCGCCAGCATAAGTTGCAACACGGCTATGTTACAACACTGATTCTCAGCAAAACCTTAGTGTGTTAGACAGCGGTTATACAACCATTTGATATTAACTGTGACTTTAGCGGGAAACATTATTTATTTAATTAATTTTAAGAAGCTGTAGGATTTATGGTCTGACGAATAAATGATTATTATAATTATTATTAAGAAGACAAAGTGTTCGGGCAGTTTAATAAAAATGATTTGTAGAAATCGTACGATAATTAATACACAAGATAAGATTAGAGATTTGTCTGTTACTCACTCGAGTACACACTTTTAACGGTTTAAATCACGAATAAATTGGTTAACTTATTTTTTATTTATTACAACTACGGCCCAAGCGCAGCAAATCGACATGTCTTCTTAAAAAATGAAAGTAAATATTTATGGCGCGAGAGGTGCATTTATCAATAAGTTTAAATAGACGATGACGTGTAACACACGGTAGCTCAATTGGTTAGAGCAACAGCACGGAACGCTGTGGACGCCAGTTCAGGTCTTGATCGTGTCGTAATTTTTTTCAATTGATATCTATGTAGTGCCACCACGTGCAACATGTGAAAAATAATTAAAGTTTCAGAATGTAAATAAGTTAATACATTTCCCGTTTTAAACCGTTACAGGTGTTTTATTTAAACAATTAGAAAGTATTATACTATATTTTGTCCCCGCTTCTGCGATTCACAATCATTCTTCTCAGATTTTAGCTAGCGCCAATCTTTAAGCCTTAACACGTAATCTCCACTTGTAACGTTTTGTGACAAGCTCTCGTCGACCTACATAAGAGATTAATTGAGGTGCTATAAGATATAACACATAATATATACGATTTTGGTGTTTTTTTTTTCATGTATACTTTTGTTGTTTGATTTTTTATTATTTCTCTGTATCTACTGTCTCTGGTATTGCAAAAAAAATGATATCATTTTTATATTACTATAAACTTACGTCAGAACTCGGTGAAAACTGAGATAAATATATTAAATCAAGAAATATTTCATCAAACATTCTTTTGTTTAATAGTACAACTCTACAACGATATAAAACCGTATTACGTATCCTTACCATATAAAATAAATCCTCAATAATTCGTAATCTGCTCGACAAAACACAGTTAAATTCATCTTTAATAGCTATGTAAATAGTTGTGAGTGTGTAATTGCATTTAATTGCAAATATGGTATAACGTGGACCCGTATAGTCTTTATATTTTAATTGTGTTCATATTTTTTTGCTGAACGTCAAACAATAAGTACATTTAAAAACTGTCTATAGTTTACGCGAGTAGTATGCATTTAAATAAAACACTTTAACGGTTTAAAACGCGATCTGAGAACGTCGGGCCGAAGTTGAAAATCATTTTCAAATAAGTTCAACTAAATATATCGCGTTTTAAACCGTTTAAGTGTTTTATTTAAATAAGTACGTTTTTTTATCATATAGGAGGACAGAAAAGCAAAGGCGTTGACTTTATGGAAGGCGAGACACCCCAGCCTTATAATATTTTGTGAACCTATTTTAGCATGGGATATTCAGAAATCCACAGACTAAATACGTGATTAATTGTATTTTTCATCTGTGAATAGTGATTCGTGACCCGGCCGTAATTTTCATATTCCCATCGTTGATTTAATATTCAGATTTGCAGACGAATCCAACATGTTTCAGAAAATTTTTAAATTCATTAGAAACATGTTACTCTTGGTAGGGATAAACCCACGACACATCCCATTAGACCAACGATCCCGTTGTACAATTAATGAAATTGTATTAAACACATTCTGTTGGTTAAATATTTATTGTAATTCTCACTTCATTCGTCATTTTGAAACAATGTTATAAGTGATACGAGGACCGTTCCTTCTATTGCTTATGGAACAAAATAATGATGATAAACCATAGCTAATGCAATTTAAACAACGAGTTCTTCCGGCGCAAGAGACGCGAATTATACGATATTTGGTATATACGTATAACCTATGTAGAGCTAAGACAACGTACCGTTTTATTTGATATTATAGTAATAATAAACACAATAGTTTTGACGTTTCGACTAGAGATGGTAAATATTTGTTTTTGATAAAAATCTCAATAAATCTAACGGCGGGTATAGATTTAGGCTAATGGATAAAATAAATAAAAATATTAAACAGATTCTTGATCGCATCTATACAAAGTATATAAAAAACTTTTGCGAAACACAATAACAAATGAATAAAAAAATTGTAGCTTAAGCGAGAAGTACCCATTTAAATAAAACACTATTAACGCTTTAAAACTAAT